TTAACATGGACTTCCGCTAAGTAACACCTGAATCTATTAATTACCTAAAACAACGTCAGCCGCGAAATGATGAGATGAAATATATAAAATAAATATAAAATGTCTAGGGATCAAGCTCGTTTTTCGATGAAGCCAATTACTGGAATTTAAAAAAATAACCACTGTTTTTTTGGTCAATTTCATAATTTATAAACAAGCAACTAAATACATAATTTAATAAATTTATGATATTTTTATTTCATAAGGTTAAAAAAAAGCCGTGAGAGAACAAAAAACCAACTGCGCGGTCGTAGACCGGAGCCCGCGTTGCCGCCGCAAAGCGACCGCGTGCATCTAACTGTCATGGCAAAATATGCTGTGTTCGTTTAGCTTTTACGTTTTAACTTAAATGAGCGTCCCGGACACGCGGGCGTGCTTGGCTTCAATTTGGTCTACGCGGCGGCCCGCGCGACGACCGGACGCGCGGTTGTATTATTCAAAGGAATTTAAATGTTGTTGCCTAGTAAATAGAATTCGCCATTAATGTAAAACTCGTGTAACTGGGCGCTCGTTATGCAACGATTGCATGATATACTTACTATTAACACTTTAAATTACATGCAGAAAAATTGTTACAGGATTTTTCACAAAACTTAAATACCAGAGTATTTGCATAGCGTTTAAAATACCGTCGGATATAATCAGCAAATTTTGTAAACCAAAACCAAGCAACAACCAAGTTAACAATTCTCAAAACAGCGCTATCCGGAATGGGGGAAGGTTGAAAATCTTGCTTTTACTAACTGTTCTGCTGCTCTTCAAGAAATAAAAGTTAGTAGCCAGAGGACAATCACACCATCGAGCAACACCGTGAGTAAACTTGCAAGCAAGCCAAGTACGCGGACTGGCGGCGGCACCGTTTTGCTTTTTCGTCGTGTTGGCCTATCCTCATTAGTGCCATTATGATATAATATTATTGGGTCAAGGAAAAAGTACGTGGCGTTTTTTCATTAACTTATTAACACATTTTTCTCATATTGTAATTAAACTATATATATGCTGTTTTGATCGATCACCTTTTGTCATTTTTCTGGTAAAACAATTATGACATCAGTGTAAGACTCTCTAGTCTGGGATTTCTGGGCGAAAAACTGAACCAAGTGATTTTCACAGGCCTCTTTTTGAAAGAAAGAAAGAAGAAAGAAAATACATTTATTTGTTTACCAAAATGACACCACAAAAGACAAAAGACAAAAAAAAGAGAAAACGGAACAAAACAGAACTAAAACAAAACAACGATCAAAACATTCAACTTAAAACATAAATAAATACTTAATTACGAAACAAAAACACAAACAAACACAAAACAAAAATGTATATACAAAAATTTGATAAAATTAAAATAGGAACTATTCACACAAATAATAAAAAGAATACTAAATATTGCGATACTTTGTGTGGTGCCAACCGCGGTAACAAAAGGGTCAAAAACTCAGTATTTGCTGGAAAACGCAACGCGTTCCCAGCACTGATTTTCAGTTAAGACCCTAAGTGAGATCACGGATCAACATATGCAAGCATACTTCGGTACTTGAATATAACATTTTGAAATCAGCTTCACACCGTTAAGAGTGTTCTATAGAGAGCGAAACAAATGGTATTAGGACGGGGCAAGGTCCGACAAGTAAGATGGATGCATCAAAACTTCCCAGTCAAGCTCTGTCAATTTTGCCAAATTATTAAAGACATGTGTGGTTTGGCATTGTCTTAATGGAAAATAACGCCTTTCCTGTTGGTCAACTCTGGCCGCTTTACTTCAATTGCGCACTTTAATCGTATCAGTGGTTGACAGTAGAGAGTGGAAGCAATGGTCTGACCAGGTTGGAGAAGCTCATAATGCACGATTCCCTTCCAGTGCCACCAAACACAAACCATTGCCTTGCGTGGCATCAATCCGGGTTTTGTCACCGTTTGTGCAGCTTCTTCCAGGTTGGAGAAGATTTTTTTTGCACATTATTGTCATGTGTCACCCACTTTTCATTACACGTTATCAATCTCTTCAAAAATGGCTCAGTCTCGTTTCAGCAGCGATTCGCAGATGTTAGTTCAGTTCATAAAATTTTTCACTGTTAATTCATGAGGTACCAAAATATCGAGCTTCTTTTTGGTATCCACCTTTATGCAAATGTCGTAAAACTTTTTTTTGGTCAATGTTTAGTTCTACAGCGATGTCATAAGATGAAATGTGGCCGGTCTTCTTAAATTGTTTGAGGAATTTCATCGAGTTTTTCAACAATTGGTTGACAAGAGCACGGCGCGTCTTTAGCACTGAAATATGCAGAACGAAAACGAACAAACCATTTCCGAGCTACTGATTTTGATAAAGCATTGTCACCATAAACACCGCAATTTTTTTCACAAGCCTGCGAAGCATTGCCGATTTGTTCAAAGTAATATTGTACAATATAGCGATTTTTTCTCAACATTAGCTCATTTTTAAAACGCCATTTCTTTACTTGTAATAATCTACAGACACTCACTTTTTAAACGCTGTATAATATAGCTTGATAGGATCAGTATTAATTAAGTTATACAATTCTAAAGTCTACTATTGGTAAAAAAGCCACGAACTTTTTCCTTGACCTTATATTAAGTTCCACAATGATTGTACCTTTTTTATATAAAAAAATCGACCTCAAAAATTCGCGGAATTACATTCTATTTGCCAAGTTTTATTGAAATCGGTTACCGGAAAGTCAACGAAACCGGATTCATTTCCTAGTTTGCCACCCTTAGAGGTGGAAAATTTTCTTCAAATTTAAATAGGACCAATAATGAGGTAACCCTCTTTCCAAGAAAAAAGAATCATCATAATCGGTTCACAAGTTATCGCGTACATACACACATACAAAAAAATACAGTCGAATTGAGAACCTCCTCTTTTTTGAAGTCGGTTAAAAACTGTGTAACAAGGCAAGTATGATAACTCCTTTGGTGAAATTACAGGCACACGGGACTTGTCAAGTAATGTCTCAAGGTGAGCGCAGTGGTAGTGCCCATCAGATCTTTGCGATTTAAAGCTTTGAATGGCACTGCAACTGTTATGGACAGGCGTGTCGCTTTCCAGCAGGCGCACGTCGTATTCGTCTCGTCTCTTGGTATCATAAAAAAACGTAGAAGCCACGCCGGTACAATTGTACGGAGTTAACATACTTGTCTTATAACCAGTGATCAGAATTGAGGGATTTCATTTACCTAAAGTATGAACGTTTTCTTAGTATGGACATACCCATTTCGTAATCATTGCATATAAAATTTCTTTTTTTTTTTTTAATGTTTATTTTCTAAACATTGCAGAATATAAGTTGTTTCATATTTATTTTTTAAATGGCTAAATATTTAAATACGTAAGTGCCTATAGAAACGCAGTTACAAACTATTTTTAACCGACTTCAAAAAAAGGAGGAGGTTCTCAATTCGACTGTTTTTTTTTGTACGTATGTTACGCGATAACTTCGGTGTTTGTGAACCGCTTTCCATGATTCTTTTTTGTTCGAAAGGGGGTACCTCCATAGTGGTCCCATTTAATTTTGAAGGAAATCATCCACCTCTAAGGATGGCTGTCCAAGCATGAAGATTCATTTTTATAAATAGCGCCTAAATATTATCATAAGGAGCAATTATTTTAATGGTTGATTTTGCTATTCTCCAATTCAAGGCGTTTTTCTCTCTCAATATACTTTGAGTAGTGAGAACCGATTTTTATTATCTCCTGTGTCAAGTCCCGTATAGTGGCGAACTAGGGGATGAATCCGGGTTTGCGCACTTTTCGGTAACCGATTTCAATAAAACTTGGTAATTATATGAATTCCACGCGCTTTTGAGGTCGTTTTTTTTAGTACTCTGTACTGAGATTATTTGAAACTATAATTTAATAGGAAATAATAATTTGTCGCCAACGTACTCAAATTTCAATAAATAATACATCATCATCATCCACAGCCTGATTTCGACCACTCCTGGGTATAAGCTACAGGCTTCTCGAAGTTTGTGCCATCCATCACGGTCCTGTGCTACCCACCCTGCAACAGGGCGCCTGACGCTTCTTTTGCCCATAGTCGGCCACCAATCAGAAACCGACGAATAATACGCATCCAATCGTTAGAAAATTTCAGCACAAAAAATGTATTAAATTATAAACTTAATTTCGTTGTTTCATCTGTTGTTATAGCAATTAATTATTTAAATAATCTTATATTGTATATTATTAAACTTTAAGTATAAAAATATACATATTATATACTTTTATTTTTACGTATTAAAATTGATAACAATTGAAACATTGTGTTTTATTATAGCCTTGACTATCTTTTCCATAAATCATTTATGTTATACCAAGGTTATGTTCGCTTAAAAAACTAAAAGTAGATAAATGATAAATTTAAAAACTTAACGTAAAAAACAAACAGTGTTCAATGTGTTCTTATCATGAAAAAGTCACGACTCAGCCTAATGCCAGTCAGTGTTGGGCAAAATTTAATTGTTCTGGCAATTAATTAATTGTCAATTGCGAAACAGCAATTAACGATTGATCAATTGTTAGTTGCGAGAACCGCAATCCCGTATATCTACAATTATCAAATTAATCAATTTTCAATCTTTTCAATGTTTGTGATTAACAATTAACAATGAAAACTGACAATTATGATAAGTTTATATGCATATGGGGGTGCGTTAGAGGTGTGTTAGGGGGTGGGTTCGGGGGTCGGTTAAGGGGTCGGTTGGGGGGTCGGTTGGGGGGGCGGTGGGGGGGCCGGTTGGGGGGCCGGTGGGGGGGCCGGTACTTCCGGTTTTAATTGTTAGTTTCAATTGTTTCTTAGAACTAAAAAAATCAATTCAATTGCAATTGATTTCAATTGAATTGATTTTTTAACGGAACCTATACTAAATCGTTAACTTGGAATAGACTGTAGGTTTTCCAATTTAGTCGACGACTTATATAAGTTATAAAGAAACTTTACCTGTTTTTCACTTGACTCAGCAACCAATTAGCGTCCACGTTTGTAGTAACAATGTATTGCGGATTAATCGCCCTGTCTTGTGATAAGTCCAAGGGAGAAAGGTCGAACACGCTTGAAGCTAGGCTGTTGAGTTCTACCACTAATGACGAGTGTCTGTGAACAAAGGATTTATTTATTTTTTCATCATAACTTGCTCGTAAATAGTATTATTACATGGTGGTTAACTAGACTATAATGCCCCAAATAAAACCCTCGGGCCTTTTTCTTCCCATTACAACCATGGTCGGTACGGACTTTTGTTTTTAATTTGTAGCACGACATACTTCCTTAGATAGGACAGATTCAAGTTTAAGCAAAGAGGTTTCTTAAGTTCAATATTAAAACATGGGCTTAAAATGTTAGCTAAACAGAAATTTAATTGCATTTCAACCACATACTACGTAAATGCTTATTATTAAAAATTTCTTACAATTGATTTTAATTATTTTCTGTATAATTTAACAAATTATTTTTTTACAGTCCATCATGGCTATTTGCGTCTTTGCTTTTTCAACATTTTAGTTCGAGTTGTATTATTTGCTGAAGATTAGCTAGCTGGCCATCTATTGATAAAAAAAAATATATACCAAAAAACCCAAAATCCATAATTGTTGTATTGTGAACCATATTTATTAATACAAGAAATAATCCTTGTATTTACTTCTTCGCAAATGTAATGAAAAACATTGTATGTAACACGGACGGTAAAAAATATAAAAACGCAAGTTCTTAAAGCCCTCAGCCTATTACTGATCACAGTACGTCGTTCCTGTTTTGAAGGGTAGGGATGCTAATGAAGTTCCAGGCAGACGAGACTTTGCAACTTATCTATCACGGGTGCAATGGTAGTGTCTATCAGATGTTTACGAATTAAGGCTTAAAACACTGAGTGGCATTGCAACTGTCATGGACAGGCGGGTAGCTTATCATCAGCCACACGTTCCACCCGTCACTTGATATTATAAAAAAAATAAGGTCGCCTGTTGTAGCTCTATTGTTCTTCTTTTGTTTATGTTGTGACGGTGTGACCTCCGTACATCGTCATCCCACCTTTTTGTATCGCCTCTCTCCATTCGTATCGTATTGTTTTCTTCTTCTACTCATATTTAAATTTAAAACTTTGAATTGTTCCATTTTACTTCGCATTCTGATTTTGTTTCGTTTCATCGTCACTCTCTACCCGATCGCGGTAGAGAACACATCAGATTCTTATATATTTGAACCGTTTACTATTTTACTGAAAAATCTCTTGTACAATACATATTCTAAGATCATAAAGATTGTTAAAACCTGAATAAATACTTTTATAACTGGATTTATTACCATTACCCTTTACCCTTTTGAACGCCCGAACGTTAAACTCACTAATCGAGATCTGCGGTCTACTGAACATTCCAAGCGGTACCAGAAGCGGCACACGCATGTGAAATGTGGATCTGCAAGCTACATTACAATCTACAGAAACCCACCAGCCGCCCTCTACAATCTCGTTATGTATTTGTTCTAGAGTGCAAACACACACATCGGTTTAAAATTGAGTAATATTGTACTTACCGAATATGAACTTTATCTCTTTGTAATAGCTCTAATGCGACTTGCAGGTCTTCTTTAGACAGCTGTACATGTATTTTCTCAACTGGCATCTCTTTTAGCATTTTGCATCTATCTACTGCTAATTTCGCAAATCTGTCAAAGAAAAATGTCACCTGTTTATAATAGCAAATACGAAAATACAGTGTGCCGGTATGAGTTACAACTTATATTACAATTTCTGTTACACGACTCAGGCAATCCCCGTTTCTGTCGAGATATATGTACATAGAACTTTTCTCAAATACTACAAGGAAATAATATACAATAGAATCAAGGAGAATGTATAATATAAAATGAACATACAAAAAGTTATACATTATTATACATTTTCATATAATTTTGTTTGCTCTTAGCTGGAAACAAGTTTTCCGTGTTATTTTCTCCTTGTTTTAAATTACGTAATTAATAACATTCCATTATTGTATTTTCGCTTCATCATCATCATATCAGTCGGAACGCGTCTATTGCTGAACATAGGCCTCCCCCAAAGATTTCCAGACTAGCCTGTCGGACGCGACGTGCGTCCATTTACGCGTATCTCAATAGAATTTATTTTCGCGAAGAATATATAAAAAATAGATATAACAAAAATGAACTTCAAGGTATCTAACAAGGCAATCTTTCGACACGTGTTTTTGATTATAGTGACGCCCTGTCAACCTTCAGGTTATGCGGGAAGGGCACTATAACCTCTGCAAGCACAGGAACCTTCCAAGTTCAGGTTCTGATCCCGGGTCAATCCGTGTAGAGGGTTGTCACAGATCGTCGTCACGGACTTCACTCGGTCCTCAAAAAATGCTAGTGCCTCGGGTGAGTCGCCCCGGTTGCCGTAAGTATATATATAGGCACCGGAGCTGTTGGCACGCTCACTTCCCGTTGTGCATTGCACGACTAAGAGTTGTCACTGCTAGCGTGAGACATACTCGTCAGGCAATACTTTACTTCACGGCCTATGCAATAATGTACAAGCGGTACTGATCGCAGTGGTCCCGCGCGACGGTAGGTATTAGTCCTTATAATTAACCCCTACGAGAACTACGAACACCTACAATTTTATTTTTTTACCTGCCAACTAAAAAATGAACGTTATGAGGAAACGATCAGGCGCAAACTGAATAACCTTTAATGTAAAAGTCCCTTTACCCAATAACAGAGTACATTCAAAGTACTATGTAAAGAATTAAATTACTATACTTATTAATAAATTTCACATTCACCGTCTTATTATACTTCAATTTACATTTATTACTTATTAAGCATCCATAATTACAGTTCCTGTATACAATAAACTTGACATTGTTAGTCTAATTCAATTATTTATTAGTTGTATTAATTACCTTGAAATGCATATATGCACTATTGTGTACTATGATTTACTATTATATAATTATTTGTCATTATTTTGTAAGCTGACGCTCACTTTTCGAAGAGTTGTGTAAAATTACATGTAATTGTATTTGTATGAAATTTGTAATGTTGAGAGAAAAAACTTCTTAGTTTACAAAAATAAGTTACTTAAAAAGCGGTCAAGGGAATAACATAGTGCATAAGTAACTTTTTTAAATACGTTTTTTCCAACCATATAACTTCTTAAAACAGAGTTAAAAGAACAAACACGCATTGCGATGAGAAATCAAGCAGGCTTAGTCACTTGGATGTTGCACACAATGAGCAAATATTAATTTAGATAATTAATTAAGATAGCTAAAAACGTACCTAGCGGTAATAAAAATTACTAGGCCAGGACGGGAAGTACATTGGTTTTTAATTTTTGTGGCATAATAAAAATCAAGATCTTTACGTGGTCATTGTTCAAAAGATAAGCGAAGATTTAGGACCGTGTTTGAAAAAAAATGTAACCTTATAGCAATATGGCCAAGTATTTTAACCGAGTTCAAAAAAAGGAGGAGGTTCTCGATTCGGCTGTATGTTTTTTTTTGTACGTATGTTACGCGATAAATTTATGAACCAATTTTCATGATTCTTTTTTGTTGGAAAGAGGGTACGTCCATAGTGGTCCCATTAATTTTGAAGAAAATCATCCACCTCTAAGAGTGGCTGTTCACGCATGAAGATTCATTTTTATAAATAATAATAATAATAGTAATAACACACACACTCAACATAGCCCCACACTAGGGAAACCCTGGTCGCGGGTGCCATGGACACACATATAGGCAACCACAAATTACACCCAAACTCACGAGAGAAACAAATGTAGGTCATACAAATATTTCTCCCGGCCCGGGAATCGAACCTGGGACCTCTGCGTGGCAGTCCGGGATGGTAACCGTTCGGCCACAGAGGCAGTTCGATAGCGTCTACATTTTATTATAAGGAGCAATTATTTTAATGGCTCATTTGGCTATTCTCCAATTCAAGGCGTTTTTCTCTCTCAATACACTTTGAGTAGTGAGAACCGATTTTTATTATCTCCTGCGTCAATTCTCGTTTGGTGCCGAACTAAGAAATGAATCCAGGTTTGCGCATTTTCCGGTAACCGATTTCAATAAAACTTGGTAATTATATGTAATTCCACGTACTTTTGAGGTCGATTTTGGGATAATAATGAATACCTCATGTGAAAAAGCGAGAAAAAGTAGTTTTTTGGGGAACTGAAAAAATAAATTAAAACAAAAATAACGTACAAAATAATTGGTATATAATATATGTTGGTCATAAATAACGAATACAATTTTGTGATGTTTGGCCACCAAACGGTGTATATATATTTTATACTTTGTTTTTTTATGGAGCCTAGTTTAGTCAATCGTGTTTCCGGCCTCGTAGTTCACTACCAGTATCTTCTGTTTTCATTATCAATTTAAAAAAGAAGTTGAATTTGTATTTTTTAACGTCGAAACACCAATTTTTCGTGTGGTCGAAGTACGTCAAAAAGTATATTGGATCTAATTTCGCCTTAATTAAAAATAATCTGGGATGATCCATGTGACACTTCATAAAAATCTACAAGATACTTGTAGATTTAACCTTGTAACAACGTACACCAATTTACGTATTTCATAAATCATTCATAAGCCTCGTTTTTAAATAAATAGCTTTTGTTTAAGAACACACTTGTTTACGTTAAACTAAGGTAAAAATAACACGAAGTCAATGTTTATTGGTGAGATATAAGCGGATAATCTTTTGTCCAAAATTCATAATTTTTTTACGACTACGTGTAAAGGTTGCTAGAGATGAAGTATGTATATCGATAAAAAGTTTTCGACAATTTCATGAAAAAATGTATAGTGCGTGTATTCATTCTTAAAGTATGAATTTTAATCATAGGCAATGAATTGATACGCCTGTGTATTACTTTTTTGAAACCTATGAGTTAACGATATGATGAATGTATTTAGAAATTTACTAAAATATCAATTGAGTATTCATTTCAATTATAGTTGTGTTCCATACCTTCAATATAATAAAAAACACTTCACATATCTATATATCGTTCAGAATACGACAGAAAAATAAAACTATAAGAGAGAACCATTGACCTACCAACAAAGAACCTTTGCTTGAAAAATCAAATACACTAAAAATCTATCGACTTTACTTCATCCCTATGACAAACGTCAAATGAAGGGTCACGGGGATGATCCTGGTTTGTTTAGTATAGCAGGAACGGTTTTGACAATTTTTCCAGGAAACATATTGGCACCGGAAGGCATTAAGTGTTACACTTTGCTACATGACTCAAATAGGTTATACAGACTTGAGTCATTGCAGAGCTTTAAGACATTTCTATTTAATTATGTTTAACAAACACTTTAGATCATCTTAATGTTTGGCACATGTTATAGGTTGACCATGAAGTATATTTTTACGATTTCTACAGTTTGATGAAATACGTCAATCTACTGTGGAGAAATGTCGCCGAAGGCATTACTGTCTTTATCCTCAGCTTTAGGCAATTCACAAGTGTCTTTTGAGAGTGTTAACATATTAATATTAACATCCATAAATATTACAATCAAAATATATTTAAGGAAATATAATTTAAGAATAATACAAACTTTTTTCATAACAAACTAATAATGACAAAGAGTCTGTTGTTGATAGTCGTCGTAGCATTAAGGGGCAACGTATGCGATATTATAATTAATGTTAAAATTTCGAAAAAAAATCAATTTCGAGGTTAAATTTTTCGTGAAACAAAACCTTTATACATCTTCTGCAAACCTAGTAGACGTACGATAGGTGGACAATGTTCGATTTTAAAAGCTAGAATAGATCGCGCTACGACAAAAAAGTCGGTTACGACAAAAATGTCAATTACGACAAATATCCCGGTTACGACAATGCCAGTTACGACAAAAAAGTAATTACCTGACGGCCAGAGCTGGTTCTAGCTTGCCGATAATTCTGCAAATGAGGAAGACGAGAGCACCAGATTGACTCTCGTGGCAGAGTGAAAGGATCTTGTACGTGTTCAGTGCGAATTCGTCCTGGAACAAGTGGAATACTGAATACAGCGTGTATTTTTTATGCTTCGCGATATTTAGATGTCATGACATGTACTGTCAAAAGCACGTCAAAGCTTGACTCTTTGGAGTTTGACATGAGATTTGTCAAGTTAAGTCTCAAGGTAACGGGCGCAGTGGCAGTGCCCCTCAGATCTTTGAGAGTTAAAGCTCTGAGTGGCACTCTGAGAGCCACAAGATTGTAAAGATTGTTTCTTGAAATAAAAACATTTTGATTTTTTGACTTGATTTTGACGAAGTCCGATCGAAAAAATACGAATATCGCTTGTACACCTAGAGATAAAAATTATCTCTGTGACATTTCGGACCGCCATTTCTCGGATTCGGAACAGGGGGTCTACTCTCGATCTCCGTCCGACATCCGTCCGAAACAATTACTGTCAAATAAGTAATATTCGACAAAATTAAAAGACAAGTATCCAGTATGAAGCTTCATTCGCATCACGCGTCTGTTCATTTGGTCAAGTATTGCTTGTTTGGCAGTAATTGTTTCGGACGGATGTCGGACGGAGATCGAGAATAGACCCCCTGATACGAATCGCACGTAGTGCGTAAACGCTCTAATTTTAAGACCTCATGTACAATATGAAGATAATAAATATGTTGAGTACAAAGTTTATAATTAATAATAATAATAAAGCAAACACACAACACCCCCCTCGCGGGGCTAGCACTGGGGTAACCCTACGTCGCGGGGGCCATGGACACACACATAGATAACCACAAATTACACCCAAACTCACGAGAGAAATAAATGTAGGCCATAGAAATATTTCTCCCGGCCCGAGAATCGAGTCTGGGACCTCTGCGTGACAGTTCGGCAACGTTCGCCACAGAGGCAGTTAAAAAAATTATTTGAGTTGAACATAGCGGTCACGTTAGGAAGTCTTCAAACCTTTTGCCAAAATCCTCAAAATATTACCTTAAGACAGCTCTGACATCTAGCGGCGACAGCCTGTAACAGCAGTCCTGACGCCCCCGCAGTTTGCTGTACTTTGTTGACCAAACTTTGCACTATAGGCTCTCTGTATTGACTGACTAAAATATGCACTCTGTTGACTAGTAACCAGGTAAGATGGACAACTTCTGACAGACCGTTTTCCACCTGCAAATAAACAATAATATGTTCCAAATGGCCATACCAAGTGTTGTGCCCTCCTTATCATAACTAACGTAATCGTTTTAACGAAATGAAGTTTTTTAACATATATCGGATCGGATGATCGCATCAGCGAACAACCCCCTACAAGCGGTTTTCATATCTTATTAATTTGTTTTATTGATTTTGACTTTCATAATGGACTGATACCTTCTTACTCTGTGACTCGGTTTAATAAGCAGATTCTTTGATTAAGTGCTTATCGACAATTTGGCGAGTATGCTATGCAAATTGTGAGACTGTTGAAAAATATTATTAATAACTTTATGCACGAGCCCTATATTTACTACTGTAACGATTTTAAACGCCCATTTACCCTTGTACTTCTGTCATATATCTTTGTCATTTATATGGAGTAGTGCGAAAGAGAGCAACATATACTATAGTCCATTTGTTTAATGTAAGCAATCTTGATACATAGCACTGCTATTTATATTATACTATTGCTGAACGTAGTATTTGATTCTCTACACGTCAATAGAACGGTCGTTAGAATATTGTAAGAAACAATTAAAAGATATCTCCTTAACTCAAAATGAGACCAACTTTTCCTGAGCTAGTTCTGGACAAAACAGTCCTTTACTCAAAAATATTAAATAATGTTTTCCTTTTTATTTGTAAATATATTTGGCACGTCGGAAATTATTGACCTATACATACTTGTTTTTAATAATCTTTCACAAGAAGTGAGTAATTCGTTTTTCATCGATTCTAAAAAAAAACACTTTTTGAGTTAATACACTCTTGTATTACCAGCGCGACATCCTTTTATTGAAACATATACTTTACAAATCAATAGGTATAAAAATAGGCATGCAATTTTATATGAAGCTAAGGATTTGTGTATTGTATTTGAAAGTAAATAAAAATCCTTTCATAAATGTATAATATCGCACTGTTAATACAATAGTGTAAGAACTCAAAAAGTGTATTTTCTCAGAATCGTCGAAAAACGAATTACTCGCTTCCCTTGAAAGATCTGTGTAAATTTATGTACAGGTTATTTCCTACTTGCTAATTTTACATATTTAAAAATAAAAGAGAAAAAATAAAGTCATATTTTTTAGTAAGGACTATTTTGGCCAGACCTAGCTCACATAAAGCGTGTCTCATTTTGAGTTAAGTAGTTAAATAGACATCTTTTAATTGTTTTTTACAATATTCTAACGACAGTTTTATTGACGTGTAGAGAATCAAATTTTACGTTCAACAATGGTATAATTTTGAATTACACATATTTTGAGTTATAACACTATTGTAATAGCAGTGCGATATATTTCATTAAATAGACATCCCAAGATTGTTTACATTTAGTTAAGTACTTAAAAGTCGGTGTCTTAAATATAGTATAGTGATTAACCACGAAAATCTTAAAATCTATATTTGTTTCTGGTATTATTTTTTATTTGATGAAGGGATTATATGTAATTTGGTACGGTAAAACTCATTAGTGGGCGAGCCGGTATAATATTATAGAGTTGATTCATATCGCCTTTCTTTGAATTTTTTTGGGAATATCCATTATTCGCCAATGACAACTAGATAATGAACAGACAGAATTTCTAGAATACTTACAAAATATTCGCAATATGCCATGACGCAGGCATTCTGTAGGATGTCACCGCGTAACAAATGCGTATCACTGCTAGCTGCGCTTAGTGGGAGGTTGCGAGCGAAACCAACTAATTTCTGCCAGTACTTGTGGGTCAGAAAGTTCATTCTAAAAAAAATTATGACAAAATTATTACACCACTTCATTGTTGTGAGAAACACACGAAAGTTTCTTCTTCTTCACTCGATTAGGTATGTTTACAGTTACCAGCGGCTGTCAAAAGATGTCGCTTTACTAATAGTTTTATTATTTTAATGAAATATCATGTTTTTACTAACTACATGGTCGTAAAAACAACATTAATACAGAGAAAGAAAATATATTATTGTTTAGCAAATTAATACTATAAAGTCCAAATATGTTGAAAGTATTTCTTTTACATCGAGACTGATTATTACGTGACCAAACCTTGTAAGGTGAAAAATTGTTGTAAAAGAAATTAAGGTAGGTATAAATAAAAACTCCACGGCTCGTCTGACACGAATACAATGTTGTGCGTTTCGAGTGCGGGTTAATTACGACGTTGTAATAGTAAAAAAACTTAAACGTTTCTTTTTGATTAGTTTGAGTAGTTTTTTTAATTCATTAAATACTGAACTAATCACAATACAATAAACAGGGCAACATTATTTCAAAATGGTATAAGTAATCTTTAATTAAAAGCTGGTCTAGCAAGATCTATTTATGTTAATAATTTTTTAATTTATGGTTTCTTTTACAAAGTATTCATTTTTCAAAATAGTTGTATAAAAGTTAACAAAAATTTACTATATTTCAATCTTGTGCAAAATTATCATAGGATCCAAGCTAAAGGGTGTTTTAGTATTAAATATATATGTGGGTACACGACAGAAACCTCCCCGCAATGACGTATTACGACGGCAAGTACCTTCACCGATTACCAAATCCTTTCACCACGATGGCAAATGCTTAAAATACGAGTACTTTAAGCACAGTTCAGCATGGCGGCTACTTGTGGTGTGTCCAGCGTGGCTAAGTTCTGGACCAGGATAATATAGTGTATGCCATCCATACAATAAGACGAAATATTCAATTAGTTTTAAGTACCGTACATGGGGCTCTACTCTCGAAGCACGAAATCTGTAGTTACAGTCGTTTTCCCGCAATGGACGACCTACAGGCTTAAGTTTCGATCGGAGCTAGAACTAAAGCGTGAAAACATGTAGAGAACGGGTGCGGGTCGGGCGCGTGTCGGGTCGTCGGGAGCAAGGCGGGTGTAACTCCGTGAATTTATATAGACGATACTAAACAGTGTCCTGTCGTCCTACCTACCGGACACGCGTCCGACCCGCACCAGTTGTCAGTGTGTTTCACTTAAGAATGTATGATAACGCGATTTGACAATTTCGAATGGGCCCGTTTGACAGTTGACGGACTTCGAGAGAAATTCCGTAGGTCATCCATAGTGGAAAAAAAGCCGTAATTTCGGAATTCGTGTTGCGAGAGTAAGATCCATGTTTGTGAACTGTTGTTGTGTCTTAAATAAATAAATAAATAAATAAACAAATAAATCTGACTATACATTAACCACAGATTGTACAGGTCATTGAACTTACCTAATAAGTAAATGTGACCAATGAACAGTAAGCAAAGGCACTCTATGCGCGGATCTCAAGCAAATTAAGTTTAGTAGATCCAGTGGTATGTTCTCCTCTGGGCTGTAGAGACCCGTGTTGAGACCGCTTTGCTCGTTGTGCAGGATTGTTTGGGCTGTCTTCGCTGTTAGAGGGAACAGGCAGCCCTCTGGAAATAGATATTCATTTTAGAAACAGTGTTGCCACACTTGACGCTATGTGATATTACAGTTGCACGCCAGGATTTGCATATTCGACTTTAATTCTTACTTGAAACAGCATAAAATTAAATTTTATGCATGACCATAATAGTCTGTTCCAATCCGGTACATTGGATCCGAAAAGTAAACAAATCATTTACCCGACCATAGACACTTTAGTTATGACCAACTATACTACAAATCGATTAATTAATTGAATGAATTGATTTCTTTAATTGAATCAGTTGGAATAACTGGGTTTTACATAAAACGGGTTTTGCGATTTCGCTGCTGATTACTATAAAAAATATGTGATTCATTACTAAGTGATGATTATTTTATACATGAGATACATTGACTTACAAATAAATGGACGACGGGTCTAATACAAACACCACGAAAAAAATGTCCCAAGTCAACCTATTCGAAATTTAAATTGTAATGTCATCGCAGTATCGCGCTGTCAGTAGAACAAATGAAGACTAAAGCGGAGTGTCGCGCTCTGTATACGATTTTAGCGCCTTACAAGTGCGGACACTTTTTAGCGCGGACCCGACGTCCATATAATTGTAAGTCAATGATGAGATAAGAAATTTTTTCTTACATAACCTATAAAAGCAAATTTAAATTTTCCGAAATCTAATTTTAAATCCTCCTTCAAATCTTACACTTATATATTCGTTCGATTGTGATAAAATTTTCGATTCACTAATCGATTACAAAAACTTTAATTGAATGAACCGAATGAGTAATTCCGTACAACCCTATGCAACCATAGACTATTCACAAATCTATATTTGATTATCATATTTGAACAAACATTTTTCAAATAAGATTTTAATATGTTTTTTTCGAGATTATTTGGTATTGGTAGGGCAACAGGTGATTGTTTTGAACCACAGCATAGCTTCTTGAGCTATGGCGTAGACTTTACGATCACCCTGTATAGTTTTATATCTAGAACTAGACTACGCACCTCCATTTAGATGCTGATAAGCAATAACGTGTCAACCAAGATGTTTATAGTTGTTTTTGATTGTATGTTCGAAAATTTACTTGTAAAATGAAAGCTGTTGTCACGTCAGGAATGATAAATTGTTGCGACTAATTACTATGATTCCCCAACAACAACAAATAAGTAAATTTTAGAACAAACTACCAAAAACATCGAAAAATCTTTACGCGCCATTTTGGCAGAACTATAATGTTGGATAACATGTTATTGCTTATGAGCATTCATTTATCTCTACGCTATTTTTTTTTATTTTGCATCAATGTTTCCTTAAATTCTGGCGTAGTGTTCATTGGAGGTATCAAGATGGTGACTTTAATGACTTATTAACCGACTTCCAAAAAGGAGGAGGTTCTCAATTGGACTGTATTTATTTTTCTTTGTATGTTACACGATTACTCCGACTTTTGTGAACCGGTTTCGATAATTATTTTTTGTTGTAAGGGGAATACTTCAGCAGTGGTCACATTCAAATTTGAAGAAAATATTCCACGTCTAAGGTTCAATTTTTATTGCGGCGGAACGGAATGCAAGCAAATTTTTGTAACGATATTGTACATAACATAATGGAACTTTACGCGCCGACTGTCGTTTCCATGCCCTTCCGCCGCAATATAAATTGAGCCTTGGTAACGCACACACACGCATAAAGCACACACTCAACATTGCCCCGCACTAGAGAAACCCTGTGTCGCGGGTGCCCTGGACACACATAGAGACAAACACAAATTACACCCAAACTCACGGGATAAATTAATGTAGGCCATACAAATATTTCTCCCGGCCCGGGAATCGGTAACCGTTCGGACACAGAGGCAATTAGTGTGGCAAATTAGGGGAGAATCCGATTTATTGGATTTCACCCACTTTCCGTTATCCGATTTTAATAAAATTTGGCAAATAGATGTAATTTCACAAAGTTTTGAGGTATAATTATTGGAGCATACTGTTTCGTAACGAGGGATTTAAACATTTTAATATAAAAACAGCTCACCTGTCAAATGAAGCATATGTTTAACCTGAACGATAATGTTAACGCAGACAGCGTACAACAAATCATGACATTCATTTGTTTCCCTGTTTGACACATTATGACAGTTGTCCATCTCAATTATAGCAAACGTCAGTGTCTTGAACAAAAATCTGACTAAAACGACATCTGGCGACAGATTCGCACAATTCTCATTGATATTTTGCACGTTCAAAGGATCGACGTTGGTTTTGACATTGAAGAATATGGACTGTGGAGATATGCACGTTGATTTTAAATAATTGATCGACAATAGCGTTTCGCTTTCTGGTATTAGAATGAGGACTTTTCGAAGCAGAACCATAATTATCGAGAGATACCGGAGTTTTAGTTTGAACGGCGTTGTGACCTGAAAGAAGTAAATTTTCGTCAACATCACAAAAGTTTTTGATAATTTATTTAATAAAAATGGGAGTAAATGCAAAGTAACTTACTTTCATTTCTATTTTATTGGAGCATAATTGAAAAATAAATATAATACATAAGAGCTTACTTGATCTGGTGGTGCTTTGAATAAAATCTTTAGCAGAACTTCAACTCTACTCTGTTCTAATAAGACATCTTTGTACACTGAATCCAATAGCCTTTCCAACGACGATATAGCTCCAGCCGTATCCAGTTCAATAGACCTCTGAGTTAGAAGATTTAGTAAAGTGTCAGAGGCCAACTCTGACCAACGGTAGTAGCTTTCTGGGTGTTCTTGTGAGAGAGACAGCACACAGGCTACAAGGTCTAACACCTGCGAGCGAAAGAGATGGTTAGATAAATTATGTTTTCTATTAAAAATAATGTATGAAAATATCAATGAATAATCATCGACATAAAGTTAAGTGATATTTATTATTAAAAACAGTTGTCATGGTTTCTTTGGAAGAACATAAGTGGATGAATGATTTACTTAAAACATAATGCCAACTGCATAGTGCCAATGGACTGTCTGACGGTGGCTTTTTTTTATAATATCAAATGACGAACAAGACGTGCATCTAATAGTAAGCTACACGCCTGTGCATAACAGTTGCAGTGTCACTCAGAGTTTCAAATCGCAAAGATCTGAGGGGCACTGCCACTGCGCCCGTCATCCTGAGACAAGTTGATAGGTCCCATGTGCCTGTTATTTCACCAGCATCCTTGCCCTTCAAAACCGGAACGCTAATGCTAACATTACTGCTTTGCGGCAGAAATTGGTAAGGTGGCAGTACTTCGAACTCTTTCACAGATAGCTCTACTGCTTCTAAAGATGTTGCTAGTTTACTAGAGATGTTGCTGTTGAAAGTTCCGACTCGGCCTATGCGTATCAACGATTATTCAGTGTGTACTGAAGGGGTGTCCCTTACAAAAAATAATGTATCACAAAATAACCCTCTGTATAGGATGTGTGTGTAATATAACGAAATATTCTGATTGCGATATTTTTAACTGCGGTGTCACTACTTTTAAGAAGTCACTTCTTGCATTGTTGTAAGTTGAATAATGTATTCTTTTTTTTTCTACAATAATGATAATAATTAATTTAGCGTCAATTTAAGTAATCGAGTGTATAACCAGAAATATAAATAAGGGCCATCCATCCCTGGCAACTCATCAGGTAAATGGCATATCACTTATAAATATCAACTCTCGTTTGCGTTGAAATCACAAATTAGAAAACTGAAATAGCACAGCGCTAACAACTGACCTGTGTGTACGTCTCCGTGTATTCCAAAAAAATCTGTCTTTATTGTAATAACGATAATATCTCTAACAATGGGGGCTGTTCCATTCGGTGGTGTAGGAAAAACAGCAAAACATCTAATTACAAAACAAACGGATAATGAAATATTAAATAAGTAATTTTGCAATTTTCGTCCATTATAGCAAAGCTCAAGTTATACTGGTCTTTTTGAAGTGAAACAATTGACGACACCCATCACGTCAATTGTTTCGCTGGCCAATCGGAGCGCAATTGTCACAGTAATGATGTGGCAGAATAGTTTTCAAACATGACATTTCGTCTTTATTTCTGGTTATATACTCGATGGTTTAAGTATATCTACTTTCGAATGTTGAGCATCTATAATTAGGCATAGATATGCCTACTGTATTATTTTTAAGTTGTTTTTTTTTATATTGTTTGTGTCTAATGTTTGTTATTGTGCCATAAATAAAAAATAAAATTATTTCATTGTCATATTTAAGTATACATGCTTGAGTATGTTTACCGTGACCTTCCTTAGGGTCCTAACTGAAAATCAGTCAATCAGCAAATACTGAGTGAGTGTCCCCTTTGTTACCCCAACTGGCACTACACAATGTATCTTTACACTTAGTGTCTTCATGTCTATGTAAAGAATCTGTGGTTCAATTTAGTTTTTTATTTGTGTGTTATTTTATTTTGTTTAGTAATTATTTATTTGTTTATTAAGTTTGAACGATTTTGATTGTCTTCAATTTTGTTTTTTGTGGTGGTCAAATAATAGTATTTTATGCAATCGTTGCATAATGACGGTAAAACGATATTTCAAGACCTAATAACGATTGCATACAATACTTTTTCTACGAGTAAATAAAATTATGAGACAGAACCAATATTTATAATGTATATTTTGTTAACAATCCTTGACAACAAACGCAATTTTTTTAAATAAATTTTAACCCATTTATAGGGTGGGCAAAGGTTCCATTGCACAATCTATTCACATACGCTCCTTTGTTTCTTTTTTGGTTTGTTTTGTACTCTTTCAAAAAACCAAAGAGATACAACTGACCAAGTACCGCATTTAACGAAGGAACCGGGGCGGACCTTACTAAAGACGGTCGTCAAATATAAATGTCAACTTACTTTATGCTGATGCATGGTCTTCTGTAGCATATAAAAGAGGACTTCTCTAGTCGCTTGAGCCTCTTGTTGTTGCGCTCTGCCCAAGATACTGCCGCCTGTGACGAATAATCATCATCAACTCATTTTATACGTCCCACTGCTAAGCACGGGTCTTCATGATGAAGGAAGTTACTTCACCGAAAAACTCATAGTAAATATCAAATTAAATTTTGCACATAAATTCCAAGAAAATCAGATACTGAATTAGAACCTCTGTTTGTGAGGCGGTAGGTCAAGCCACAGCGCTGTTTTTATAAAAAATCAGACTCCACAATAAAAAAATGAAAGGTAGAATATTCTTCAGTTGTAGCCACTAAACAAATCTTAAACTTCTATCCTACCGTTACCTGGAAGATATTGCTACTCAGTAATAAGGCCGCCTGTTGTACATTAACTTACTCTGTGATTACTGTGTATTGTCATTGTATATTTTAATGTACAAACGAGCATATTCCATTCATTCATTCATTCAAAAGTGACACGGATATTTTACCTCCCATATTGCTGAAGACTTTCACCGCGACAGGTTCCAAGCCGGCGATGCATTCCGCGTGAGCCCCTGACGCCATCAGACCGTCACACAGTTGGATCAACTATACAATAATAATAAAAAACTAATTACAAAACTTCTTGTACAATTAAAGTATGTACAAGGGTCTGTATGCCCCTATTAATAACCTCTAAGTCTGGTTTTAAGTGTATATCAACTGGGGAATAACTCAAACTGTCTAGTATTAATAATAATATTAATAAATAAAAATGTTGCAGAACGGTCACAAAATTCACGTAGATAGTTATATTATATGTTTAATATAACAGTACACCCTCAACATACACAATTTACTACTTATTTTACTATATATAGCGTAGTTACATTTTTTTTTAAAGCCCGAATTGTAAATGGAGTACAAAGTATACAGAACAAGAATATCAGAATTGTAAATGGAGAACAAAGTATACAGAACTACGTCTTACCTTAGGTATTTCAATAATTTGCTTTGTATGGTGTTTGGAAGAAGATAACTGCACCAAGAACATGAGGATACTGTTCACAAGGTCACAGCAATTCCTACAACAGATACATACATTACGTAACTTCTCATAGTGGACTAAACCATAGATCACTTAATAGTTACTACGTAACAGATATATCACTCTCGTACAAAATCGAAAATACCTTTTTTTTTGTAATATCAAGTGACGGAACGATCAAGTCGTGCGCCTGATGGTAAGCAACATGCCTGTCCATAATAGTTGCAGTGCCACTCAGACCTTTAAATCGCAAAGATCTGAGGGGCACTGCCACTGAGCCCGTCACCCTGAGACATAAGTTGACAAGTCCCATGTGCCTGTAATTTCACCAGCACCCTTACCCTTCAAAATCGGAACACAGAAATGCTGACATTACTGCTTGGCAGCAGAAAGAGGTAAGGGCTATTACCCTACGCTATAAACAACCAAACTAGGAGACCTACCACAAACCCTTAAAACAATATTACTTTAACCTTGCATTGACTTTTCGTACCATAACGCGCTTAAAGTAAGCTTATTGTAATGTCAAAACTATGATGTTTTAATGGCAGCTTAGTGACTATTCATTCACTGAGTTCGTACTATGACGCGACTTTAACATTAAAGTAATGTTGCTCTAATGTCAAATTTAGCAATCTTTAAATAGTTACACGGATGCAATGGAAACAATATTATTTTCAGTTTTATTGTCTTAATAGTGATTTGTAATGATTAAAAGTTAAGTTGAACTTATTTATTTACATTTATATCTCTTCAATATTTTGTTTATTTTTTATTTAATAGCACATAGGAAATAAGTTTCCGTTAAATAAGAATACGCGATGCTTATTTCGTAAAATTATAACAGCGCCATCTATATGCTCATTGGCGAAACTAACAGTCGACACTAGATTATAGTTCCGAATTCACAACGTGACTATCAAGACTCAGCTAGTTTTATTAATTTTTCTGCATGAAAATGCGGAATAATTATTGAAAAGAACACACAATAACACAATAACACACTCAACATGACATACTTTTCTTTTTTTAAGTCAAAATTCTCTGAATGTAAATAACATTAATTACTACGTACCTACATACATTATACTACGATAAGACGATTCGGAACATCAAAAAAGAGAGAGATGGCATTATATAGTTCACATAGCGTTATCTCATTCCTATTTTTAGTAAGGAATAGACAACCGTTCTTTCAATCACTTTTGCAATCATGCATTACTTGGTTGACAGGTTCGTCATGGTACGAATATGAGTAATGTTTTAATAAGCTTACTTTAAGTTTACATTGAAATAAGATTGTTTTTGGAAAGGTTATGGTAGGCCCCTGGCGCACCCTACGAGGAAAAAGGAACCCAAGCACGCGCTCTGAGAGGCGAAAATAATGTTGCCCGCCGTATGCAGTCGTGCGGAACCGAATGCTGGGATTATACGAGGATTGTAATGTAAATGAAAGACTTGTCTATGCGCTTGCACTGTCAGCGGTAGGCACTTATCGCGTAACCTCGTCCGTGTGACGGAGCCCTAATTAAATCAAAGTACTTAATTTTTTTACTATAAATTGACACATCAACAGTTTGATATAATTATTAATACAAAGGTCTAACTGCCTTCATGGCCAAACGATTATCATACTGGTCTATCATGCAGAGGTCCCGGGTTCGATTCCCTACATTTATTTCTCTCGTGTGTTTGGGTGTAATAGGTTGTCTATGTGTGTGTCCATGGCACCCGCGAAACAGTTTCCCTAGTGCGGGGCTATGAGTGTGTTCGGCCGGCTGGAACCACCGACCTTATCGTACTGTGGCTAACGCTCTCCCAACTGAGCTACGGAAAGAAATAGCAAACAGTCGACTTTACGGATTTCTCTATGTGCTTGTTGCAGTCTTTGTTTTTGGTATTAATTAATTTTTTGCTTAATAATTATAGCAAACCAGTAAAACATTCAATAACCTTTAATATGACACAACAACATTAAAAAAGTGTGAAATATTATTCTGAATAAAACTTCGAGCTTTATTTGTTTAACCAATAAAGTGCTATGGAAAGGCGTTAAAAAAATATTCACGGTATCTCATGCTGTTCAACCAAGTCCAACTGCTTCATGAGAAAACCGATAAAGATTTGATCGCTGTCCAACATGCAGTAGTTGACCCGCAGTGTCAGTAACTGGTTTAAGAGGCAGAGCACCTTGCATTGCAGTGGTATGTCGTTTTGCATTGTGTAACTCTGAAAGAGACAGGTAACGATGTTAGGAATAATCAGTTTTGTTCAGAATATCTCGTCGGATTGTTGTTTTATAATAATAATAAACGTTTTTATTTGTACCAAATTGGATCACTGATGTCAGTTTAGCTACTTATACTATCGTTAGTTTTTTTTATAATATCACAACAAGAACAAGTCGTGCGCCTGATAAGCTACACACATGTCCATGCAGTGCCACTCAGAGCTTTAAATCGCAAGGATCTGAGGGTACTGCCATTGCGCCCGTCACCCTGAGACAAAAGTTGACAGGTCCCATGTAGCTGTTCACAAAAATAACAGACACGGATCAAAAAATTAAGTTGGCGTACTGTTTATCGAAGGTATCGAACGGATGGTTGTGTGCATTCCAGTGCCAAAAAAAGTTTTACCTTTTCTTACCTTCAAAGCCTGTATAACGACAGGTTCAAAAAGTCTAATATATCTCTCCAACTCCTTCTTATTAGTGCTCCATTTCCGGTCCGTTCTGTTCTTGGAAAAATTCTCCATCTTCATCAACAACTCCCTTTCTTCCATCATCTTAGGATTTTTACTATCCAATGCCAACTTTTGACTTGCATTGGAACATATACTGCTTCTTCTAGAGTTTTCCTCGAGAGGTACTAAACAATTTATCAATATTATATCTTTATAAAAACTTGTTTTTTCTTTCCCGTCAATTTTACCACTTATAGTCATAAAATCATTGTACTGATTAACCATGTTTGTTCCAAATAGGCATTTCAGTAACTGAGTGATGCAATAAACTGTTAAATCGGGACATAAAGGCATAATAACTCTTAGATAAAATAGTATTTCTTCAGTGACTGTTCCGAATTCTTTTTCTGTCGATAGCTCGAGTTGTACAGACAGACTGTTTAGAACTGTTGTAAGAAAATCGTGGAACATGCTGCTTCTTGGATCTAAGTTTATCTGCAAACACAATGTCACCTGTATGAAGAGGGTTTAGGCATAGTCTAACTAGACAAATGAGACTACTCATTATTATTATTTTAATTTTTTTTTTAATAATACTAAGCGACGGGACGAACAAGTCATGCGTCTGGTGGTAAACGACACGAATATCCATAAGGCTCAACTCACACTGGCGCAGAATCGAAGCGTCGCGTCGCGTTCTATTTTTCAACTACAACGCATAGAGACGCGCATTAGCACGCCCAGTTCACGGTGTGGTTTGCGTCTGACGCGTCACTGCACGCAAGTAAGTCCTTCGCGCGTTAACGCTTGGTTAAAGTCGAGTGGTTTCGCGCGTCGTCGCGCGTCTACGTGCTACTCCACATTTGCATAATACAAATTTGTACCTTAATAATGGGAAAATAGAGATAAATATGCTATAGGTGAAAAACACGACGCGCGACGCGTCGCGATGCTTCTTCTCTGCGCCAGTGTGAGTTGAGCCTAACTGTTGCAGTGCCACTCAGCTTTTAATCGCAAAGATTTTAGTTGTACTGCCACTGTGCGACACCCGTCACCCTGAGACATAAGTTGACAAGTCCCATGTGCCTGTTATTTCACCAGCACCCTTACCATTCGAAACCGGAACGCAGTAATGCTCACATTACCGCTTGGCGGCAGAAATATGTAAAGTGGCAGTACTTCTCTGGACGAAACTCTTTCACAAGGAGGTCCACTGCTGCTAAAACTTTTTTACTTGTTTATACTTAGTTGTACCTACATGTTGTAAACATAATTTGAAAAAAATAAGGTGTTCCTTACAGTACACTCGTGCTATACTGAAATAACCTTTGTTTAATGCAGTAGGTACTTACGTACTGATATTTTTGTACCAGTATCGCAGGTTGGTATTTCGATTGTGGAACTGTGATTTTGAAATAGAAATGAAATACTGAACAATTCTCAATTTGAATCACTCTTGTTCAAACTACCATAAACAAAACAATAAACACGTCTACTATTTGATATGATTTTTTAATTTGAACGTTTTAATTCTATAATGAATGGTATATGCGACACACTCGCACTTTGCAACGTGAATGCAGCGCGAGAGTATGCGAGTGTATGCGTCGATACACGGTGCGCAGTTAACGTGTATAGACGCATAAATGTGTGCACATACAAGTCGCGCTGCTATGTTTGTTGTCTTATTATACTTCGGTCCACCACACCCAATGCAGGTTGGAAACTTCACTCCTTTTAAACATTTAGAACCAACCGTTTGCTGACTGAGCAATCACAGCTTGACTTTCTTTCACGATGATGTTTACAACCTCTTTTGACGCCTATTCTAAGCTATATTCGCTACCGCCGTATGTAGTGAAATATACCGGACGGTGTCCCGCCGGGTATTTGTAAGAAGTTCGGCGGCTAAAGCAACACCGAGATATGGCGCTATACCGCCAAGGTCGGCGGTATCTTTTCACTTGCTTTGGGTAATTGTTTTCGTCAGATGGCGCGATACTCCGCACACAGTTTGTGAAGTTTAGTTGACGCAAAGGAACGACTCATTTGCGATTATGACGTCAAAACAGTGAAATGATGAACTTAGGGATGAAGACGTGATAGTCTAGACGGGTGAAAATTAAGAAAGTTGCGCTATTTACAGCGGTAGCAATATTCGCTTATACTTTAAGAAGGTATTATGTAATTCATTTTTTTATTACTAAAGTAATCTAATATGTTAACATTACTTCTATAATGTATCATGTGTGTGTGTACAATATCGTTTAGTTGTTTAGTGATGTCAATGCTGTATTTTGCTATTGTGTTTTATCAGTAGGGAACTGTTTTTGTTTATAATTATTTAATATAGTTTCTATTACATTGTGATACAAGCTGTTTGTACCCTCAAAAGTAGAATAAATAAGTAAGTTTGAACCATTGACTTACAATTATACGGACGTCGGGTCCGCGCTAAAAAGTGTCCGAACTTATAGGGCGTTAAAATCGTATACAGAGCGTCATTCACGCTTTAGTCTTCGTTTGTTTGACTGACAGCGAAGCAAGCAAAATTAGACAGTACTGCGATGATATTACAATTTAAATTCAACGTTTTAGCTTTTTCATATTCCTGTACATGTCACTACGTTTAAATTGGTTGACTTGGGACATTTTTTCGTGGTTTGTGTATTAGACTCGTCGTCCATTTATTTGTAAGTCAATGGTTTGAACAGTTGGAATACCGTAACCAATCTGATGTCGCTACCCACAGCGGTAGCAAATATCGCGTATATATGAATAGGTCTTTATATTAAGCATGCATCGCATACCCAGTACGTACACAAGCAAAAAATTACCTTATGATTAGAATACGTAGCCCTCAAATTCTCATACAGCTTCATATAAAACGGGTCATTATAAAAATGCCCAGCCAGGTTGCCTTTAAGTCCGGCGGACGCAATCGTAGCTTTTTTACGTAGCGTGTTTTTCTCTTCGGATTCTGTGGAGATGCTGCCTTTTCTTGGTAAAGAATCTGTTGGAAAAATTACCCGTAACGGTGTTTAAACATGCTTGGAAACGTTCGCTACTTTCAAAAAAGTAAATGTGTGTCAATTAAAAAGGATTAAAATAAGTGTAAAAATCTATTATTCTCCGTTGTTCTTTTAAATATATCTACTAACAAATATCTATGTAAATACACATGTAAACAGACTAATAAAATACAGTCATAAAGACAACTGCTTACTAGCATCATGGGACCAATCGCGCTAATTGTCAACGGTAAAACCAAAACTAAACTAAAAACGAAACGTCAGTAACGTGTCACGTTGCGCACATTTGCTATCGCGCTAATTGTTAAAAGAAAAACCAAAACTAAAACGTTGCCAATTGCTATCGCGCTAAATATTTTAACGTTTTAACCACACAGGACCCGTAATAATGGTGAAAATACAGGCTCTGTACTCTCGTTCGCCGTCCGGAACAATTACTGTCAGATAAATAATACTCGACCTAATGAAAAGATGTATGATGCAAAAGAGGCTTCATATTTAACAATGTCTTGACGGAGGACGAGAGTAACGAACCTCTGTACTCTGCCTAATTTAAAACAAAATGCAAAATTTGTCACCGAATATTAACTAATTATTGTTACTTTTCTAGAATTTTTCTATTGTTACTTTTTTTAGAGAAAAGCACTATATATACCTCGGCGGGTACGTGGATTGCCCGACTCGTATCAAACAACAAATCATACTTGTCCTCCAATCCTTTACTTCCCGGCCTCTGCTATAATGTACTATTCCGAGAGCTAGGCCG